TCTCAAGTTGCAGTGGGGGAGGTCTAGGTTGGATATTAGGAAACACTATTTCACTAGGAGGGTGGTGAAGCACTGGAATGCGTTACCTAGGGAGGTGGTGGAGTCTCCTTCCTTAGAGGTTTTTAAGGTCAGGCTTGACAAAGCCCTGGCTGGGATGATTTAGTTGGGAATTGGTCCTGCTTTGAGCAGGGGGTTGGACTAGATGACCTCCTGAGGTCCCTTCCAACCCTGATATTCTATGATTCTATGTTACAATTTACGAGTAACTTGCTCTTATGACCTCTGCATAAAGAAAAAGGTGCAATATTACAAAATAATTCTAAGAGAAAGAAATAACCTGATGCCTAATTTTAAAAAAATCTATAATTGATATTTGAAGAAACAGCCTTAAATTGTTAAACAGTCTAGATGATAAAACCATTAACATTTTTAGACCAGCATGAGTCAGTCTTTGGAGTTAAATGTGAACGTGCTAATCATTGAAAACATGAAAATGTTTTAATTAAAATAATGAAACGAGTATTAAAATGGGGGCTGGATGCTGCAAAACCTGACTTGCATGATGAAGGCTTACCCCGGCGTGCAGTCCCATCAGGCCTGATTCTGGGCTTGCTTACAACGTGTAAAACACATTGACTGCAGTGGCGTTAAATCCTGGTTTATAGCACTGTCCGAGACATCCATCAAAGTGAAAAGCTTATTCCTGTGATCCAGGCTGTGCGTGGCTGGTGCGCCAATTCCTGAATACAAAAGAGTGAATAAAATAAGAGTTTTTTTTAAAGTTCAGCTGAACTTTGCCACGAAAGGCACAGCATGGAAAAAATATCTAGGCTGCCTTTGGCTTTGTGGACTGATGGTGGTGCTGGATTGCTGCTCATGTTCTTACTGCTGACGTGTGGTTTATTTATTTATTTTTTTGGCACACAAGTGGTTTTCTGTTAGTCAGGAGTTAACAGGCCTGGGCTGCATGTTTTGCCAATCAGTGTCTTTATTAAGTATATGCTGAAAGAGTTTCTTTGGGATGCCTGTAAACAGCAGGAGTCGGTGGAGTGCGCTTCGATAAACATGTCAATGTAGTTGTTGAATTTGGATGTGAAGACACGTCTGAGTTAAGCTGATATCTTTCCATCATGGAAAACTCAAGAGCGCAAAACTGCAGCCCTCCGGTGCATGGGGTTCTCCTGGCAGTCAGTGGGAGTTCTGTGTGTGGATGGCAACAGGACTGACTCTAAGTTATTGATTGAGGGTTATTTTGTGTGGCCCTGCTCAGCAGTTTTAAATTCCTCTCTGGATAGAGGGAGCAGCTGCCAACATTCTCCTGGCTGTTTTGAAATGGACTGAGGCCAGGGGGAGGATCAGAAGAGCTGGCTTTCAAAACGAAAACTGCGTTTTTTCTGTGTTGAGCCTGACCCCACTCCGGACTGTCTTTCTGTGTGACAAGCAGGACTTTCTGAGCAGAACACGCCAGACTTTGCACTGTATTTGACTGTTTCACAATTTACCACCGGTACAAGCCAATGGTAAAGCTGGTATAGATGGAGCACAGGAGGAGCCTCAGGTGCCATACATCTTCCAGACTGGCTCCTACACCAACCCCAGCCTCCTGCAATCAGTGTGGGGGATCTGGCCATGTTGTCCCTGTACCCCGGCGATCTCCAGCTGTTGATCAGCCCTTTGAAGCTGTTAGCAGCTGCAGGAATATAAAGCAGCCTCTAGTCTGCTCTAAATTACATTTAGGGACTGGACCAGCACATAGATGGCCCAGAATCGCAGGTGGAGGGGCACAAAGGCCATTTTAGCACAACCCTATACCCCCAAGCTCCACAGAGTGCTCATCAACCACAGCTATTAGGTGTTCTGACACCTCCGGTTGTTTTAAATGGATGTACAACGGCCCATGTACATGGAGCATGAAAGGGGGAGAAAGATCAGATGTGATGAAGCACGATCCATAATGTAGTTGTGATGTGGTAAAGGTCCTTAACCGTATGGTCATGTGTGATCACCGTCATGTGTGATCACGCTCTAGTTTAGCTAATCACAATACACCAGTCTGAATCCCAGTTTATTATTTGTTGTTAGTGGCAGTTACAGGAAAGTTTTAGCATTTTGGATAACAACGTGTTGCAGATCAGGAGTGAGATACATTGGGAGAGCGTTGTTCAAAAGCTGGCTGTGTGCTGGCACACTATGCTTGGCTTTAGCCATTGCAATCTGTCCTTAACTTCATGAGCACCAAATTTACCACACACACAAATTAACATAAAAGTGAATAAGGATGAGAATTGAGATCAGGAAGAATAACAGTGGATCAGACCCCAAGTGACTCCACATAATGTGACCTGGAACTTGGGATCAAGACACTTTTATTTCTCCTGTGGCTCTCCCGCTATTGGTACAAACAATCAAGACAAATGCATAGTTTACAAAGAAACTGAACTGTGTATTAAAGGCCAGATTTCCATAAAGTAGAGGCGTGTGCAGCTATGTGCACAGATCTGGTATTTGCATCAGCAAATGGTCACAACTAATCAAATGCATGCAAAATTACCACATCTGCATATGCAGTTACATGGCTAAAACGATGGGGAAACTGATTCTTAAAATCTCTCCTCAGGCTTGTGTGCTCTATGGAACCTCACCAGTCTAAGATACGTTCTTCTTTGATGACTTAGGTTCAAAGTCACCGAGTCACAATATCTGAGTCAGTAACACTGCTCAGCTGCTGCTGTGATTGCATTACAGGGTCAAGAAGGATGTTCCAAGGTGTGGTGAGAAAAGGTAGAATCTCTCTTTTGTAAATAAAAATCCAGGGGAGCAACATGGCAAGTGGAATTGGCAATGGTAGGACACAAGCGGGGAAATAGACCACAGCTACAGGGCAGCATTCATAGTACCTGCACTCTGGGAAGTGCAGGAGACAAACCTAGGCACAGTTGGAAAAGTGAATAGATTAGACCAAATTAGAGATGAGGTTCCCGCAGAACAGAGCTGTGCACACAGCCTCAAGGTGGGGATTTAGTGCCAGATTTTCAAAGGCATTTAGATGCCTAACCTGTTTAGGGGTTTTTGAAAATCCCGCTAGCCAACATCTACATCTTTAGGTGCCTAAATAACTGAAAATCTGGCCCTTAATCTGCACAGAGACTGAGTGAGGCTGCTGCTTTGTGTGTGCTGTGGAATTCGTATTTATCTGTGTCTTGTTGACTTTATTGCCATTTCTTAGAATTTACTGAATGGCTCTGGCTTAACAATGCACAAGATTCCATTCCCGAGCTAAAGAAATACTTTGGTTTTCTGCCTCTCATTATATCTGATTTGCTGTGGGTGGGTAACATTCTTTTCTATTTAACCAATGATACTTCATCTTTTAAGCAAGTGAGACCATGGAAATATTTACATTTTTCTATGGCACTTGGTCTGTACATAGCCAACATTATGTGTTCCTTTCATTTTTTTGCTAGTTAAAAGTAAATTGATGGAATTCCAATTCAGTGGTAATAAGGCTTTTTAAATGGTAAAGGGTTTGTTTGTTTTGCTTGTTTGTTCAAAATAGCTGTAGAGAAGGGACTGTGACATGTAGTTGAATAGAAGTGTCATTTGATCATAATGAAGTTTCTTGTCCAGCATTCCGTCCCACATGAGAGCTAGTGTACCGAAGTCACATGTCTGTACGCAGTATCAGACAACAGGAGGTGAAGTGAACTGAAGGCACAGTAAACTGTTTAACATCACCATTATTTGTATGAGAAGTGCTGGCTTAGACAAATGTGATGCGCATGTAATAGATGTATTTGGTTTCAGAGAGATGAAGTAGATGAGGTAATATCTTTGATTAGACCAATTTCTTGAAAGCTTGTCTCTCTCACCAACAGAAGTTGGCCCAATCAAAGATATTACCTCACTCATCTTGTCTCTAATAGCCTGGGACAGTGGGACTGACATGGCTCCAACAACACTGAATACTTACTTGGCTTCAGACAGCTTACTAAAGTCACTGATACAGCAATGGTTTTGATTCACATCACTAGTACTGGTACTTCAGGTTGTTAGGAGTGGTATTATAAGCTTGTCCTTCCTACCCTAGGGCCTGATTGTTCCTACCTTCCAATCAGCCGAGTGTACGTGACAAGGCAGTTGACAAGGCAGAACAAGTGTTGACAAGGCAGAATCGGGCCTTGGGGTGTGCTGAACCTTGGTGCACCATTGCTGCGGTCTCCCATCAGTAGTCAGAGCTGTGATTACTCTCTTGATCAGGAGGCTGGGATTTGGAGCAGCCGCATTTCCAAAGTGGTTAAGAGCACATGGAACTGAATGGGAGAAAGTGAGCCCTGGCTGGTGCAGCTGACATCAGATGCCTCAATCCTGCAGTCCTTGCCAATGCATCTAGACTTGAGCTTCAAAGGCATCTTATGCAGTTTTGTCCAAATCCCATTGAAATTCAGTGGGAGTCAGGCTCCTAACTCTCATAGGATCTTTGAAAATCTTATCTGTTGTCCTTATTCCACAAGGCCAGATTTTTAAAGTTATTTAGGCACCTAACGATACAGATAAGCAACCCCAGGCTTTAGAAAATCCCTCTAGATGCCTAACTCCAACTGAAGTGAATTTTTAAATGGAGTGATTTCTTTAGCAATAAAATTTAAATGAACTAAATACTAAACACTTGGAAGTTCAAATCCCCAAACTTTTGAAAATCCTTAAATCCCTTAAAAAAATCCGACCGCTAATCCTATTGATATTAATGAAACTACTCTTATGAGTAAAAGGGTGTAGGAATCAGGCCCTCAAACTGCTAAACGGGCGTCTAGTTGACCTAAAAGTTTGTACGTTCTTTCCAAAGGTTAAAAATTATAGTTTTAACCTTGTTTCTTCTTCATTCTGAGACAAAGCCTGGTGTAAAAAAAATAAATAAAATAAAACCTGTAAAGCAATGGAAAATGCACTGTGTGGCTTTTACAGAAATGTTTTCTTGATTTTTTTTTATTTTAAAACAGACACACGAGGTAACTTCAAAAGATGACCCACTAGGTACAGTGAAGAAGAGCTCTAGCGAACTAGAATGTGGTACCCAATCAGACAGCAGGTGGTGTTTTTTTGAGCTGCGACTGAATTCCACTAGAAGTTCCACTGAAATTGACATATTAAATTACTTCATGCTGATCATGTTGTGGCAATAAAGAAGAAATGAATTAAAGACGGAGCACTTTGTTATCTAGAAAGGTAAGAGTGTATTTTAATGTTACATTAATTATTACTGAATTACAATGCTGTTGAATGTTGATAAAGGCTGAACTGCTTCTTGAAATGCCGCTGCTGACAGTCTGTGGCAGGCACTTAAAATATGATTTCTGAGTCTTAAGAGAAAAAAGAATAAATTATTACTTGTGATTACAGGACTTCAGAAAAAGCTTATTCTAGTCACATCTCCTTGAACATTTGCCTGCATCCCCTCTGCTTTCCATATAGACTGCCTTTGCATGATACGTGAAAGGAATGTACTCAGTCTTTTTTGTTCACAAATACTATAGACATTGTCGATGTAAGATCTGTATGAAGTCCGCCACAAAAATAAAATATAAATGGCAGCGTGTGCACACAAATCTGCAGGTCTTTCCTGATTTGTGCAAAATGGTGAATGGGGATGAAGCTCATATGTTGCAAACCTACTGAAGCTACTGTCACTAGAAGCACCTTGCCTATGAGCCTGTATCTGATATCTCCGATTCCTAACCCCATCATGGCCTAATAAACACACTTGCCTTTTAGCCCAGATGCCTCATGCTTAACACTCAGTCTTCACATCCCGTTCCCCAGCAGAGTCTAATGGAGAAGGCAAACTGCATTGAAATGGTTATAGTCATTCGCATTTTGTATTCTTAACTTTTTGTTACTTTATAAAAATATACTCTGTTCTAGAGTTATGGAAGCCGGGTGCTTTAAAGAAGTGTATCCTCCAGTTTGCTATTTTCATTTTGTTCGAGCTGGATGAAATATTTGCTGCAAAAGAATTTGGGGAAAAATCATCTAAAGTGCCCAAGTCACTTAGGTGCCTACATTCAATTTTCAAGAGTGGTGTAGGTGTTCAAACCCTAAGTATTATTGAAAGTCAATAGGATTAGGTGTCTAAATCAAATTTTTAAATGTAGCTAGGTGCCTAGAGATGCAGATAGGCATCTAGTGGGTTATGCAAGTGAGCCTATGCATCTAATACCCCTTGTGCTTTTGAAAATCCCACTAAGTACCTATCTAAGGTGCATCTTTAGGCACCTAAATATCTTTAAAAACCTGGCCTGTAGAGATTAGGAGATTTGGCCAAGATCACACCTCAAGTCAGTGTGAAAAGCAGGACTAGACTGTACACACCAAAGTTTGTACCTGAGATGACCAAACTCCCATACACATTGGGGAGAGGAGTTTAATACATTACCAGTCTAGAATTTCCTGGGGAAATGTGCAAAATGATTTTAGTGAGGATAGTTAGAAAATGTTCTTCAAATGCAAGACTAGATTGGCATACCCATTGGCATACCCCATGTAACACCGTGCAGGGGAGGAATTGTGGCTCCGGGGGGGGAGTAATTTATTTCTGGCCTCTACCTAGTGTGCGGCCCAGGGCTCAGCTCTGTTGGGTGTAGTGGGGAGGAGGAAGCAGAGTCAAGGTTCCATCCATTCCCCACCTTTCCCTGCTCACCTACGGCAGAAGTAAGGTGATTCAGTGCCCCTGACCTTTGTGCACCCAATCCAAAGGTTCAGGTAACCCAGGCAGGAGAATAAAGGGTATTGGGGTTTATTCCCCTCTGCTCCTGTGTGGGCATCACATCTGAGTCAGAATTTAGAGCTTAGTGTAGAAAATATCCTCCATCTCTTGCAAAGTAGATGTGCAAACACTAATGATTAATTTTTAAACTCTCTTCAGCATCCCTTACTCCAGCATTGCATTGATGAGGCTCCTCCAGGCTGAAGATCTGGGATGTTAGTGGTCAGGGAAAGGCAAGGCAAGAAGAGCGGTCAATCTGAAAAAGGACCCACTGTTCTAACTTGCCTGCCTGTCAGGGTAAAATTGATTTTATTACTTTTCCCCCCCTCCACAAGCATTTCTAGTCCTCTGAAAATCCTCACTGAGAACCTTCAAACATGGACTGACATTAATCTATTCTGTTTGTGTCCATCACCTCTTTCAGAGGGTGTTTGAAGCTTGCGAGCAGACCCTTTTAAATGAAATGATTCATTTCCCAACACTGTCCAGCCGCACAGATAGAACTGCTCTGCTGCGTCTGGATCTTAAGGTTTGTTTTTGTGGACCGGATCTCAAGCTTCGTTCCTTCCGTTGTTTTGTATGATAACAAGAGACAGTCAAATTGATTAAAACTTCTAAGTGTATTAAAAGCCAGGCTGGCTGAAAGCTTAAATCAATAGTTCTCTGAGAGACACTAGAGAAGTACTACACTTTGGGAGGCTTTGGTCAGTGAAAACCAGTGTGCTGCTGTGTCAGGCTTCAGGCACTGTTGGTGTTCTGTGATGGGGTGTGTACCCTAAATAGGCCCTGAATGGGTTAATGTGGGCCTGAGAGGCCAGTTATGTCATCTGGCTGCACCTGGAAGGAGAGCCAGGCCTAGCTGATCACGAAGCCCTGCTGGGCAAGAGCAGGCTGGTTAGTATAAAGAGAGGAAGTCTGTAATAGAAGGGGGCTGCAGTCTGCAGTCACTCTCTGGGAGTAGAAAAGTGGTAAGGTGAAAGCCTGGTGGGAGGAGAATAAGCCCTGGGATCCTAGCCTGGATAGAGGAGGCTGGCAAGTAGCTGGGAAGACCTAAAGCAGCCACCGGGGTGGAGAAGGCTCTGGTGGTGTGCCCTGAACGTATGGTAGAACTTGGACAGCCAGGGAGAGACAGAGGGGTTCTGTGGAGAGACGGAGTATGGGGCGCGTAAGAGGCTTAAAAGGGAACCCTGAGAGAGGCTGGGTAAGAAGGAGCCCATGGAAACAGCAGCAAGGAGTGGGAGTGTGAAGGCCTTAGTAGCTGGTTTTAGTGTCCCTGGGCTGGAACCCAGAGTAGTGGGAGGCCTGGGCTCCCCTACCAGCCACTGGTAAGGTGACATGAGTCAGGAGAAGGGTACATGGACATTGGAAAGACCTGTGGCAAGGATGTGGGCCACTGGGGCCAAAGACCCTCTTGTGAGGATGTTGGACTGTTTTATGTGGATTAAATCGTGACCTGGCCAGAGGTTACAGGAAAAGGGACTACCCCAGGGATGGAGTGCCCATCGGCAGGGGGCGCCATATGGAGAGAGAACTGCTATGCCACACCTGGCCACAAGGAGTGAGTAAACTCCTTCTCATGCTCCCTTACAGTGCTGTGGCTACAATATTTAAGCCCCAGAACTGCCAGTTCCAAAAACAAGGCATCAGACCCTCAAAAGTGATTAAACTGGCTTCAAAATAATTTGATTTTACATATAATAAATATTGGGGGGGGGCGTTAATTTACCTTTTGGTGCTTGAGCTGTTAGGATTCTTTTTTTCAAGCTTTTCTCTGCAACTATGAAAGCTAGAAACTTCTTGTGTTTTAAATGAAAACTTGAGATTCTCACATAATAACATGACTCCGGGAGCTGGGTGTTTAAAAAAAACAAACACACAATCGTACTTGCTGGTTTTTTTTTTTTTAAACATGGGTCCTGTGATAAGAGTTGGTAACACTGATAGTCACATAAGGTCAGGCACAATCTGGCACTGAGTCAGGACTTCAAGATTTGGCCCATCGAAAATACACACTTGAGCAGAAGTTTACTGTAAAGAAGATCAATGTGAAATATTTAAATAATATACATAATTCAGAAATTGTGTCAAAAACTGTTTAATTTAGACCCTCTTCATTTAAATAATTGTGCAGGGTTCATCAAAAGTGTATCGTCTCGATCTGATTTAACAAATATTTAAAATGAAAGCAGGTTACTACTAAATACGGCTTTGGACAGCATTTTTTTAACCCCTATTGCAATCTGAGTAAGGCTATGACGGTAGGCAGAATGATGGCCTTTTTAGAGCAAAGAAGTGACACGATGTCTCACGCTTCCTCCAAATGTAATGAAGTGAAAATCCAGATGAGAGCACTCTCATGTCACTTTTATGGCGAGGGGAAGGGTACAACGCCTGCTTTTCCAGCAGCTAGAAAATCCTGCTATTACTAAATAACATCCTTTGGGCTCTAAAAGAGTCCCATCAAAACACAAAGCATGTTATTGTTTCAATGCACTAAAAATAGCATTTTTAGAGCTATCCCAATGACCTGCGGTGACATACCAAGGCACAATTCACAATAATGCCACCCTGCCCTGTAACCTGTGGGTGCCCTTTCCAATGCCTTGCTGCTCTAAACTTCAACCAGGACTGCTCACAAGCAGCCTCCAGCATGGAAAGCTCTCTCAGCGATGCGTGTGCTGCAGCCAGCCAGCCGTAGCTTGGCTCCTACCAGCCAGGGTAATGCTGCAGGGTGACCTCAACACATCCCCAGGCCCAGATCTTCCTCCAGAAATGTATGTCCTGTACCACCCACCCCTCTCCTGGACAGTACAAATATATTAAGTCTGTTATTCCTGTAAGGGAATAATGTGCCAGTTTGCTATTTTAAATCAAGTACTCCAATTTAAACACACCGGATTAGATAAAACAGTAAAACAAGTTTATTAACTACAAAGAAAGAGATTTTAAGTGAGTGCACATAATGAGGCATTAAAGTCAGAATTGGTTTTGAGAAAAATAACAATATAATACTCACTAGTATTTGTTTTGCAACTAAGATAGTTTCTTAAGCAATCTTTCTCACCATGTGCTCCAGCAGAATACTGACCAAACTCTAAGGTCAGGACTCTTCCCCCAGACAATACTGACCAGCAAATTATGAGTTTTCAAATAATACCTTATAAGGCATACTTTGTACAAAGATGATTACAATAGTGTGCGAGGTGTGAATACAGGGGTGTGTTCCATCATGCCTGGCAATGGCACTTTGCACTGCTAGGTGCTGCACTTAAGTCCCTGTTACTCTGTATGGATCACTCTGGGTTGGCAGGAGTTGGGTGCAGTGAGAGGACAACTTAGCTCCTACAGGAGGAGAAAGGGTTGCCAGACACCATTTTCCAGTCAGCAATACCTCTGGTGATCAAGAAGCAGCGTTGATGGGTGTGCAAAAGAGCCTCATCCAGTCTTCCTCAGCTAGAAGAATGGTTGTAATAGGATGCCTGCAGGCTTGAGGGGAGAACTCCAGAGTTCCCTAGGAGGAACCAGTGGGGGTCAGGAGTGGATTGAGAGAGGGCCAGACTGTTCGTGGTTGCTGCACGGATATGCAGGACCGGCGGGTACAAGAAGCCTCCCCATGCTGTACATTATCACATAACTGCAGTTGTCCTTGTCATGAGGCTTCCCAGTGCTTCCCTTTGGGGGCAGATTTGTGCTGTGCCTTTCAGGCACAATTGGCTCCTAAATGGGGCCTGGATCCACCAACATTTCAGGCCAGTTGACAAACAGACCCCTTCAGAGCCTTTGACCTTCTTCCCCAGTCATCCAGAGAGATGCTTCCCCCGATCCCTCTCTTCTGATTGACCTCTTGATCTTCCCCTTAGATTCTTGGACCTGGTCTAAACACAGTTAAACCAGCACAAAACCCTCTTGATTAGGGGTATGAGTTTGTTTGTTTTTTAAAAAACAGACAAAAAAGAAGTTATACTGGTACAACCCCCCTAGTGAGGACACACTTACAACAGTATAAAGGTGCCTTACACCAGTACAGCTTATTCCCCTTCACATACAGGAAGAGTGATACCCATATAAGACACCTACATCTACATGGATGTAAATGCATCCACAGAAGGGGGTTGTACCAGTATAACAATACCTGTATAGCTAAAGTGGTACAGGGAGTCCACGGTATATGTTGGGGTTGCATTCTTGAAAAGGTCAACGGATACTGAAACGACGGATACTGGGGAATTATTCCCCAAAGAAATAATGGCTCGCCCCGCCTCTTCGGTTCCTGCCCAGTTCCGCCCCGTCCTCTGAGTGTGCGCTGTCCCTCTCCTTCCCCTCCCTCCCAGTGCCTGCAGCAAGCCGGGGAACAGCTGTTTCGTGGTGGACGGAAGGCGCTGGGGCGGGCGCTGGCTGCCAGTGGGTGCTAAGCACCCACAGAAAAGCCACACAAAAGGTGAAGCGGTGGATTTGTGGATCGGGACCTACGTGAATTCAAACATGTTCCCCTATTGATGAACGATTGGATATGCAAAACGACGGCTAAGGGGGAGACATACACCGGGGACCCCCTGCACAACTTTGTGCACAGACAAACTCTTGGTGTCTCACTGCCGGGTCAGGCCCTCCCAGACTGCTGAGCCCAGGTCCCAAAGTCCAAGAACAAATACATTCCCATTTGTCGAAGCTCTTTTAAGCAGTGAAGTAAGGAGAAATGCAGCTGTTTCATCTACCATGGGCAAGCTCATGTGAACATGCCTCCCAAAACTTAGTGCTAGGTTTGTTCATCACCCCAGATACCTGAATAGAGAGCACCTTTATTTTAGTCTGAATCTTTCAAAAAAACCCAAAATACTCTAGAGCGTAAAACAGTTTGAGAGCAAAATGAATAGTAAACGAAGATAGGTCCGCAAAGGAGTAAGGGTACCTTCTCAGATGCGATTGAACAGAAATCGAGTGAGAGGCAGGCTGCTGTAGATGGTTTGTGCTGCAGAGGAGAAGGCTCTCATGCCAACAATGGTGAAACTGTGACAAGACAGACAAACTATTGAAACACAAGGTGGGCCGTTTTACATTGGATGCTGTAGAATGAATGGGGGAAATCAGTTAATTTGTCTGAGGATGGCCGTAGTTTCTGAATGTGCTGATAAGATGCCTGATGGCAAATGAGTCTACAGAGGGAATCCACATTTCTGAATCAAGCTGATGTGATAATTAATCTCTTGTGATTCTAACGGATGTCTACCGAGCAGGAGAAACAAAAGATCATGCTCTGAATGTGATTAATGCATCATTAGCTGTCAGGCCAAGAGTTCTGGAAGTGGGTAAACAAGCCTTAGGCCAGATTGGTGACTGCATCTGAGAAAATTGCAGGAGCAGAGGAGCAGGGAGATGGGGCTCAGCATTTATTTTCCATGAGCGTTAGAGTGTTTTATTACTTGTCTGAAATCACTCTGCTCTCAGAATGCATAAACAGAAGGAACGGGCTTTTGATTTTTAGACCAAAGCTCAGTGACTCAGGACTCAGACTTAGTGAGGAAATTACAAGAGA